GGGGTGACGGGAGATGATGAGGGGAAGGAGTTCCAGGGGACGCAAGAAGCTGTGCTAAATCCACAGCAAAGTCGAGGAGAGTTGGCAGTGGCCACCTGTGGGTCATGCCATTGGCCAAGTTGTCAACACACACAGCCCCTCTGCCTGGCAGTGACTCTATGCTTTTTCTGTGTTTCACAGACAGCAAGCCCACCAAGGAATAGAAGCTGGATGAACCACTTAAGCATGTCACAGAGGAAACTGGAGCGGCTCCTCCTTGCGAGGATGCAGCGCCGGAACTGCTTCCTGAGAAACCCGCGGTTTTTCCCTCCCAACACTGCCCACGGCGGCAGGTCCCTCGTCTTCCCCCCCAGGAGGCCGGCGCTGCCGGGGGCGCCCCGGAGCCGAGAGCCGGACCAGAGGTGTGTCTTTCCCTCACTCGTGCTCAGAAAACCTAACGGGAAGATGTTTAAAACATGCAGTCCGTGGTAAAATTATTCTGCAACCTGTCGACAAAAGCCAGCCAGTGACATACTGCAAGGCCCCGTGACGGCGCGGTGTGTTGGTCTCGCAGGCGTCAGTCACTGTGGCATTTCCCCGCGTGGGTGGAACTGACGGCCTTTCTCCGCTCTGCCCCCGCAGCTGCACTGACACCCCGGTGTTCGTCTCTGAGCCACCAGTCGCATTTTTCACAGATTACGAAATTGGATCAGTTTATGAGGTAGAAATCTTATTTCTTTATATATCCTACTCCATCTGCTTCCTTATTTTTTAAAAAGTCTTTGATATGGAATTCTAAAACCATTCACAAGGGGAGGAAAAGACTATAATGAACCCTGTGTGCCCACCACCCAGCTTCAACAGTTAACTCCAGTCTGCAAATGGGATTTCATCTCTCACCACACAGTTTCTTTGTGTGTGTGTGTATGTGTGTGTGTGTGTCTGTCTGTCTGTCTATGTGCACATGTGTACATTGGAATATTTTAAAGAAAAGCCGAAACATCATGTCTTTCTTTAGGTAATACTTCAGTATCTCTAACAGCTAAGAACTTTTAAAAAAATAACCATTATCACACCCAGCGATATTAATGATGATTCTTTAATATCAGCTAAAAACCATCCATATCTGATTTTCCTCCATTTGGTTTTTTTTAAGTCAATTTACAGTTTGTTTCTTTGAATCAGAATTCAAATATTGCATCTGGCCCTGGCCAGTTTTCTCAGTGGTTAGAGCATCGGCCTGTGGACTGAAGGGTCTTGGGTTCAATTCCCACCGAGGGCACGTAGCTCAGTTGCAGGCTCGATCCCCGGTCAGGCCATGTGTGGGAGGTAACCAGTCAGTGTTTCTCTCTCACATCAGTGTTTCTATCTCCCTTCCTCTTTCTCTAAAATCAATTTTTAACGTATTTTTTAAAAAAGAATTACAAATGTAGTTACAAAATAATCATGGGGATGTAAAGTACAGCATAGAGAATATATATAGTCAATAATGTAAGAACTATGTATGGTGCCAGGTGGGTACTGGAAATATTGGGGGGATCACTTTGTAAATTATGTAACTGTCTAACCACTATGCTGTACACCTGAACTAATAGAACATAATATCGAAAATTGATTGTAATAGAAAAATTTTTTTAATTTCTCTTTTTGGCAAGAATCCTCTTTGGTGGGGCTGTGTGTCTCATTGTAGACATTGGGAGGCGCATGCCAGCTGCCTCTCCCATTATCAGTGATGCAGGGCTGCAGGGGTTGTGAGCCCAGTCCATCCTTTATCAGGTCCTTATCGACCTTTCACTTAATGGCTTCAGTAGCCTTAAATTATTGTTGCCTAGATCCATTTTTTTTTTTTTAAATTAGGGGTTACCAAATGGTGATTTCTAATTCTATTAATTAGCTGTGATTTCCTGTTTTAAAAACAGCTTTTCCTCTAACTTCTATTCCTGTCCCCTCTTCCTTGTACTCTCGGTACCCCTATAGGTAACTATTTCATTAGTTTGGGTTCTTCCATTGTTTCTTTTTGGAATCATGAGCAAATATGTAGATCTCTTTGAACCCCCCTCCTCACTGTCCTCTGCACCTTGCTCTTTTCACTTAACGGCATATCCAGGGGTTCCTACAAGAACATTGTGTAGAGACCCGCCTCATCCCTTTTTCCCAGTTTCCTTCTTCATTTAACGCTAGCCTCCCACCAGCCTGGGCAATCAGGTCAAGAGCAAGCGTAGCGGTCGCCAGCCCTGCTCACCCCATGCAGAGACACCTGCTGGCCTAGTCACGACAACCCCTCCACGTACACGTGGACTGCACTTGGCAGTTTAAAGGGTGCTCCTTGCAAATCCGTAATTCCAACACGTAAGTTCTAAATGCTAAACGTTAAATCATTTTATTTACCTCTTGAACTTACTAGTTATATGTTATCTTTTGGGCTTCTGTGTCTGGTTATCACGTTTCAAAGACAGTTGGGGAAGCTGGCAAAGACTCAGAGAAAGGGAGACAATTTCGGTTGGGGAGTGATAGGGCAAAGGGGGAGCTGCCTGGGGCCCCGTGAAAGACAGTCGTATGTGGGACTGGAAGGCGTCAGCTGTGGGCGCTGGTGGGTGAGATGAATGCAGTCTGCTGAACATGCTCCCTCTGTCGTTGCCCCGTTGTCTGCTGCTCATCCCTTGCAGCTTGTTTCATTGTCACTTCTCTGGAAGGTCACCCTGACCTTTCTTGACTGGATTAAATGTCCTGCTTGCAGCCTCTTTTTGTACCACTGGCTCTTTTGTGGCACAATTTTATACTTATCTTCCCCACTAGAGTGTAAGTAAGCCCAGCAAGGGCAAGGCTTATTTCTAGGTTTGTGTTGTCATTTATTTCATTACCGGTGCCCTCCGTAAATAAGTGCCAGCTGAATTCATGAATAGTTGAATATAGGCCTACCTCCCGGTCTTGCCTCCCCCCGAGTAAGGTACATCAAGAGTCAATGACAGGTGTGTGTGTGTGCCGGTTGTCAGTATACAGCTGTAGCCATGTGCCAGAGAGCCAACACAACTTCTCCATGTGGCCTCGGCTTCCTTACAGAATGGCCACCTCTGGGTGATCAGACTGTACACGGCAGCTCAGAGCTTCTCAGTGAGTATCCTAGCAAGCGAGATGGAGGTTGCATCACTTTTTATGACCTAACCCTGGAGGTTACGTAGTAGAGAAAGTCACTACTTCCCCTGCATGTTATAGGTTACAAGTGAGTCACTAAGGTTGGCCCAGATTCCAGGGGAAGATAAATAGAACTCACCTCTCAGTGGGGAGGGGTGTCCAAGAATATGTGGACTCGTTTTAAAACTAGTGCAGGTGATAGTTAATAGCAACCAGCCCAGCCTAGAGGAGGCCCAAAGGCTCTAGGACAGGTTGACTTACAAGAGTGACATTGATAAGAGGCCCTGATAGGTCTGGACATCAAAAGAAGTCATAAATTTGGAGATGTTTATGCTACATACATACCTTATAAAGAATCAGTTCCCAGAATTTATGAACTCCTACAAATGAATAAGAAACATGTCAAGTACACAAGTGGCAAACTGGTAAAAGGATATGAACCGACACCTCACACAAGTCAGACCAAATGGCAAGTAAACATATCAAAAGACGCTCATGGTCATTAGTAGCAGAATGAAAACTAAAACCATAATTCAGGTCTCCCCACACTTGGGTCTGGGTCACTGGCAGATTAGTGCAGTATGTTGTGCTGCCCAAAATGGACTAAAATGTTGATTTAGGAATACATTCCTGTGAATAAAATTGTGAAGACATACTTCAAATTTATGTTGCTGTTACCTGGTCGGGGGGGCTAGGGGGGGGCTTGTTCTGTTTTGTTTTTTTAAATATGCCTTTATTGATTTCAGAGAGAGGAAGGGAGAGGGAGAGAGAGAGATAGAAACATCACTGATGAGAGAGTCATTGATCGGCTGCCTCCTGCACGCCCCCCACTGGGGATCGAACCCGCAACCCTGGCATGTGCCCTGACCGGGAATCGAACCGTGATCTCCTGGATTATAGGTCGGTGCTCAACCACTGAGCCACGCTGGCAAGGCTTCATCTATATTTTTAATGTTTTATTTCTTAAGCTGGATGATGGAAACATGACTTTTGGCACATTGTAATTTATGCATTTTTTCCAGTGTAATGTCTCACAAAATAGAAGCAAAGATGTGTACGTGGATTGGGCTCCTTTGTGCGAGGCACTGTGCTGTTGCTGGTGGGGTGAACGTGTGTGAATCCCAGGCCTTGCCCAATCTGAGCGGCAGGGCTTAATGGGGCCAGGTGGCTTGAGTGAAGGAGAGAGGCCCAATTTCAACCCTGGCATATGGGTGCCCATAACACCCCTCAACTGCGCTCATGGCAAGAAGTGGCCCAAAGGGATATGTGGGGAAGAAGACAGTAAATAAGAGGTGGGATGGGCAGGACTTTAGAGCCAGATGTCCTGGGCTCAAATCTCAACCCTGTTACTTACCAGCTAAGGAGTATCTTTGAACTTCAGTTTCTTCTGTGTAAAGAACTATCTCTATAAATTATTATTATTTTTTAATCTTTACCTGAGGACATATTTGGAGAGAGGAAGGGGACATCAATGTGAGAGAGAAATATTGATCAGTTGCCTTCCGTCCATGCCCCGACCAGGGATCGAACCTGCAACCCAGGTATGTGCCCTGACCGGGAATCAAACCGGCAACCTTTTGGTGCACAGGACAACCCTCACCAGCTGGGCCCTCCGACCGGGCAAGAACTATCTCTAGATAGTTCCCACCGTGCGAGGTTATCGTGAGGTTGCCCAGGCACATGGCAGAGACTTCATAAACAGTGGCTGTTATTTTAAACAGGACGAAGACTAGGTCAGACTGTGCCTGTCTTCATGCTCACCTTGTATTTTATTTTTTTCCAAAAAGAAACAAAAGCAGAGAGACTAGCATAATGAATCCCCATATGCCTATCCCTCAGCTCAACAGTTCCCAGCACCTGGCCAAGCTTATTTCATTTACCCCCCTCCCCCTTCCCATATTACTTAGTAAACCCAGACCTCATGCTGTCCGTCCATCCGTGTTGCTGCCTCCTGAGCCCCCCTTTACCTTTGGACAGATGGCCGTCTCCCTGCAGAACATCACCTCGACCAGCCGCTGCCTGCGGGTGCTCCCGCCTTCCACTCCGTACTTCTCTCTGGGATTGGGTGAGCTTGGCCGAGCCGATGTCTAGACTGCCTCGAAATCACGCGCTGGGCTTGCTCCCAGTTCCTGGCCCAGCTGGCCCTCGGGTGACTCCTAGGCTGTGTCCTGAGCTTGGGCCATTAGCAGTCCCTGGGGGCCCCTCACGCGCTGCTGGAGGCCTGCCCCCTCCTCCCTGTGAGGCCTCTGAGTCCCCACAGCTCCTCTCTCAGATCACCTCCCTCCAGGCTCTTGTTCTGCCATCTCCTCACCCTTCACGCTGTCACTTAAACCATTACAGTGGCATCCAATGTCACAATATTTTTCTCAAGAACAACTTACCATGCCATCCCAGCTCAGGAATCTTAAATGGCTCTCTTTTGCCCGTAAAATAAATTTGAAGCCACAGGGTCAGGCGTGGCGTCGCCTAACCATTCTGGATGTACCCCATCACTCTCCCCACCCTGGTGTTTTTACCCGGAGTCCCTGCCCTCGCAGCCTGCTCCCCAGCACACCCTGGTGGCTCTGCCATTGGCATGGCCTTGGCCCAGAGGCATTTATTCACAGAGCCAGCCCAGCTGTGGTGGGGTCTGTAGCCCTGAGTCCCAAGCCCTGGCAGCTGGCGGGTCCTCAGATCCTCATTTGTCACTTTTGTCCTGCACAGGAATGTTCCCAGGAGAAGGTGGAATGGTGGCTCCTGGAATGACCTGCCAGTACATTGTCCAGTTTTTTCCTGACTGTCTTGGGGACTTTGATGATTTTATCTTGGTCGAGACCCAGTCAGCCCACCCGCTCCTGATCCCCCTGCAGGCACGGAGGCCACCCCCAGTGCTGACACGTGAGTGTGTGCCCTGCTTCCTCCACCCCCCGGAATTCATCAGGGCTGGCGAGTCCCTATAAGGACTGCTGGCTTCCTGAGCCCTTTGTGGCAGCACACAGCTTGGCAGGGGCTTCTGGGTCCTGCAGTCTTCCACTGTGTCAGTCCGGATTGTCCCGCTTCCCAGCGCAGGCTGACTGAATTAGCACAGCCCGGGAGGAGGCCAGCAGCCCTGTTAGCCCCTGCATGGGCTTCTCTGGCTCGTGGACACCCCTGAGCAGGCCTGTGCCACGTGGAGGCAGGAAGGAGAGCCTGGAGCCTTCTGGGATGTTGCCTATGTGGCCGTGGGGGTGGGCTTCTTTGGGGAAGCTGACTTTGGCTGGGGTCCCTCCCTCACAAGCCTCTTTAGCTGGACACAGGCTGGAAGCTGGGATTGTGACCACAACCCCCAGGACCATCCCCAGTGGGCTGAGGCTTGAGTTCACAGTGTGTGCTGACTCCTGCTGCTCTAGCCAGGAGTGGGAGCAGGGGCCAGGGATGTCCCCATTTGTCCTCTCTGATCTGGGTGCTGGGAGCAGGGGTCAGGGCAGGTCCCCATTCATCCTCTCTGGCAGGGCTGTTGGGCAGGGGCCCGTGCTCTGAGCTCTGGTTGGACCTCGGGGGAGCAAGGACAGTAGGGCCATTCACAGCGACACGTTCTGTCTCTTGTGCATCTTGTCCTGTGGCTGCAGTGTCGCCAGTGTTGGACTGTGGTTACTGCCTCACTGGGGGAATGAAGATGAGCAGATTCCTCTGCAAAAACGTGGGCTTCAGTGTCGGCAAGTTCTGTGTGATGCCTAAAAAGAGCTGGCCGCCCACAAGTTTCAGGGTGAGTGGTCACAGATTGCTACCTGGGAAAAGAGCAAACCCATCAAAGGAAATAACCTCCCGTTAGAGACACGCTAGAGCACACCTGTGATTGGAAACACACAGAAAATGGAATTTTAGAACCTCTCTATCCAATCCCTTTGTCCAAATGAGAATCAGTATGTACAGAGACCAGCGCTGTATCTCTGGTTGTGCCACTCATATGTGCACGACCCTGGGCGAGTTGTGTCACCTCCCTTGTCACTGCATTTTACTCACCCAGTCAGTAACTGTAGCAAATGTTTGAATACATCAGAGGTCACAAATTAGCAGCTCTTTGGCCGAATTCTGGGGGCATGTTTATTTGTCACAGTGCTGAAAAATATATTTTGAGCCAACATTTACAAATATCCATGTGAAATGTGAAGGTTGAGTAGATGCTTGCTGAATGAATGAGCTTCCATTTCTTCATTAACAGGGGACTGGATGATCCTTAAGATCCTTCACATTGAAAAACGGGTGTTTGGAAGAGAGAAGTTTGTAATTCGATCACTGGTTTTATAGTTCCTCCCACACTGTTGTATAATCTTATGCTTTTCTTTAAGAATATTGCAACCGTTGGCTTCGTTGAGCAGCCTCCCTTTGGGATCACGCCTTCGGTGTTTGAGTTGGCTCCGGGGCAGGAAATATTGGTGGAGGTAGGTAATGAGGCGTTGGCATATATTTCCTCCTCCTTAAGACTGGGCATAGCTATTTCTTCAGCCTCTTGCATGATTTCATTGCCTCTGTGTTTTCATGACCCAAATATCCACTCCCATCCCAGGCCCCAGACTTCATGGTTTCTGTGGAGGAGCGTGTTCTTGCATTCTGTGGGGTAGTGTCACTTGGCTGTCTTATGGCCTCTCTCATAAAGCAAGTGCAGGAAGCCCTAGCATTTCCATCCCGGTGCCTGAGCATTGCTTGTCCACACTGTTAGCCTGGGAGTCACTCTCACCAGCCTCTGAGCTGCTTCCAGGATCTTCCCATGGTTGGTTCTTAAGTCTCTCTTGGACACCCCTCTCCCCAATCTGGTACCTGGGGTGACGCCAGTGGCTTAGTTCTCTCTTTCCTGATTCATCTTCAGTTATATAGTCAACAAGACTCGCCTTCCTTAGGCCTTACTCTGAACCTCTGCAGAAGCTCTCAGAGTCTGCCCCCACCCCTCCGGGCTGTGGGCTTCTCCTTTCCAAACTGGCCCCTTTAAGTGCTCCCTTCAGCTCATCACACCTGCTCATTGGTCCCCAGAAAAGCCTTTGAGAAATGGTGATGTTTTCCTGTCCTTGTCACCCTCCCCGGCTCCCTGGCCTAGGATTCTGATTCTATGCTGTTATGTGACTGGCTGTGGGGCTTTCCTCACTAACCTGTTGAGGGAGACACTGATATTCAAGAGTAAAATGTGTCTGGTTTCTGGGGAGGGGACTTGGCCTGCACCATGTCATTGGGTGGTGAGAGCCAAGAGCCATGGGTTCTCAAACTCAGCTGTACTTTGCAATCCCCTGAGAAACATGCCAACACACTGATGTCTGGGCCCCATCCCTGAAATCCTAAGTTCTTTGGTCTGGGGTGTGGGCTGGGCACAACACTTTTAAAACTCTCCGTGTGATTCTGGTGTGCAGTGAAGCTTGAGGACCACTGCCCTACACTTCTCTGCCATGGAATCCTGGTGCATGGATGACGCTTACTCAACTGAGCCACACCGGTGGGCTTGGACATTTTTAAACATATACAAAAATAGAAGAGTGTAATAATCTCCCATGTATTCATCTCCCAGCTTCAGGGTTTATGAGCTCTTGGCCAAACTTACTGCATCTACATTCCTCCATCTCTTCCAGCCAATCCCCACCACACCCCTCTAGATTATTTTGAAGAAAACCAAGATATCATATCATTGCATTTATGATAGCTAACTCTGTGCTCTTTGCCACTATAAACAGTGAAATCCTGTTTTTCTGGCTGGTTTTCATTTACATTTACATTTCCTTTATTATGAATGAGATTTAACATGTTGTTATTTGTGTGTTGGTCTCTGTGAGCTTTCTCTTCATATCCTTTCGACATTATTCTGGGGTGGAGCAGCAGCCGAACTCCTTGGCCTTCGGTAGAAAGTGGGGAGCCGGCAGGGAGGGAAGCAAAAAGCAGAGAGCGAAGACGGGGTGTGTCTTAGAAGAGGAGCCTGAAAGGTGGCAGTGGAAGCCCCTTAATGGGAGGTAACAGGGGCAACCTTCCCTCCCCCAGGTCTTGTTTCTCCCAAAGAGCTTCGGAGAGGTACAGCAGACCTTCATCATCACGTGTGACAACTGCCAGATAAAGGAACTAGTGATCTCAGGTGGGCTTGTGTGTGCATCCAGGGGAGGGGGCGGTGTGGGTCCCGGGCTCCAGAAGCTGCTGTAGTGGACACTTTGAGGGGATGCTACAGCCTCTATGCACCAGGGTCTAGTTTGGGGCCTCTTGCTCTGGTCAGACCTTGGAGATCCAAGCCAGTGAGGCCTTCAGGACAGTCCCAAAGAGCCTTCTAGCAAGAGACAAATGGAAACCTGGGGTGAAATCTTCCATCGTTCATTTTGAAACTCACCTTGATCTCCTTTTGGGGAATTGCCAGTGACTCTTACACAACCAGGTGCACCTCTAGTTTCCTGTAGGGTTAGAGGGGCATCCTGCTGAATTTCCTCCAGATGTCTTCCTTCCTCCCTTCCTTCCTTCCTTCCTTCCTTCCTTCCT